CTATTAAACAAAAAATATATATCTATTTATTTTAATAATTTTTTATTTTCAATCTTATATTTAAAGTAATTATATATAAAAATGATTTTTTATAAACAATAAAAATGTTGCATAAAAATCTATATAAGAAATTATACAAAAAAAGAAATTATATAATAAAATTTTTACTATATATAGAAATGTCATATTTTAATATCATTAAAATAAAAGCCATATCATTTAATAAATTAAAATAGTTTTTTTTGTTAAATAAAAATAATTAAAATAGTTTTTTTTTTGTTAAATAAAAAATAAAATTCTTACATTAGAGTAACAATTGCATAATTTATATGATGAAAAAACAATTTGTAATTTAGTAATTACTATATTAAATTTATAATTATTAGTAAGTTATTAATAAATCATTCAAAATAAAAATTATTATTACAAAATGATTAGATTAAAAAAAAGATAAGATTTAATTATTTAATTTAATAGTATTAAATATTATGTTTTCTAATTAAATACCTATACAGCATAATAGATATCATAATAATTTTAATTTATTAACTTTTTAAAATATTAAATTTATTTATTTATAATTAGCATTAATTGATATATACATTTCATATATAATATAAAACCATAATTATAAAAATTATATAAAAATTACAAGATTATTATAAAATCGTTATTTATTTATACTGTCTAAATAATATTAAAGCAATTTATTATTTATTTTATGATGAAAGAGATTTAGATTTTCAATGGCAAAATTTTTTACATAAAATTACATTTTTTATGAAAGACTATAACATTTGATATATATATATATATATATTATATTATATAATACTGTATGAAATTTTAATTTATTAATCTAATAAATATAAAGTTACTTACTTTTATTATAATTAATTATATAAATATCTAATTAGTTATTAAATATATTTATAAAATATCATCAATTATACTTAAGTATTGTCAGCAATCTCATTATAACTATATTAAAATTAAACCTAAGTCTATAAATTATTATATAATTTATTAAAATTATATAATAATTAATTTAAATTGTGTAATATTGTAATATTAATTGTGTGATTTATTCATAAATTATTTTTATATGCAATTTTGTTTGATTCAATAATACTTTATTTGATTATATTGACAAATATATTTAAAAAATAAAAACTTTTTACTAAATATGTAATGATAAAAATTAATTTTATTTGAGTAAGGCGTTGTTCACATATTACGTTCGCAGTTTTTAAAAAATCTAGACCCCCTCCCCCTATGTTCGCAATTGTTCGCATGTAATGATATTTAAAAATTACGTTCGCATGTCCTTAACCCCCCCCCCCACCATTTAAATAAATATTTTATAAAATTATTTTCACTTTTAAAATAATCAAATAATCAAATAAATTAATATTATTCAAAAGTCATATATTTATTCAAAATTAGTTATTAAACCGTTTATCAAAGGATTAAGTTTACTCAAAATTAATCCCTTAAATTCATTCATTATTTAAATGCCAACGTTCTTATAGACTTTACCCCCCCCCCCCTCGTTCGCAAAAGTTCGCTTTGGCCGACCCCCCTCCCCTCAAATGCGAACGTAATATGTGAACAACGCCTAATTAGGTTAATCTACAAATATAAGTGCAAATACAAATAGGCTTTAGATATTTGAATGTTTTGTGTATTTAATGATATATATAGATATTATAGAATTACTTATAATATATAGTTTATATTTGTTAAAATATATACATATATATCAATTTATATACAGTAAACATATTATGTTTAGTTAAATTATGTAAATATATACTTTCAATAAATATAAAAATCCCTAAAAATAAAATTTTTGTAAATACCTTATATATCTAAATAATAAATTAAACAAACAAATCAATAAAATTATAATATAATGTAATTGTAATTCATAAAATATATAAAATGTTGTACTTTAAAAACTAAATATTAAACATAATTTTTATAATATTTTTAGCCACTCTTAATATAATTATGATAATAATATTACTAATAATAATATAAACAAAATTTAGTTTTTAAATTAACAGTAATTTTATTTTCCTTTTAAATAAATTAATTTTACAGAATATTTTTGTCTTATGATATGTTAGTTTAAATCGTAAGAATCGTATAAATTAAATACAGAAGTATTTATATAATTTAGTTAAGGTCTTAGATAAATGTTTGCGTAAATTATTTATGTTTTGTTGTTTCAGATATTTATCAGTTATATTATAAAGCAACATTATTTGATTAACATCAATATATAAGTAGATAACAGTATAAGTGTTTTTTGTTGAAAAAAGTTTCTTATTATATAATTTTTTATAGTCACAAATAATAAGGTATGATATGATATTAGATAAAATACTGTATATTTTGATATTAGTCATTTTTTCAAAATAAATTGTTATATAATTATACAATATTATTATTTGTTATTTGATATTAATTTATATGAGAAATGGCTAACAATTAAATATTAAAAAACATTTTGTTTATAAAAACAACTATATTAAATATACAGTATGTAAAATAATAACAACAAAATATACTTTTCAAAAATAATAAACCAATTATTTTAAATAATTAAATATTTTTATTTGTAATCATCTATTTACATTGTTCAGTTCCCAATTACCAACTTGTTTTTCACATATATTGTTTGTCAATATATGTAAATGCTATATATAATAATATAATAAATTTTTGACAATTAACAGATTAAAAATATTTTTAAACAAACAATTATATTATAGATAATTATAATAATAATATTTTCCTATAAACTATGTTTTATAATATTTTATATTATATATTACAACTGATAATATCAAAGCTTTTTCTATTTAATAATAATAATATTAAATTAATAATACATATGTTTCTAGTGCTCTAAACAAATAGATTATTTTTTAATATATATATATATATATATATAAATATTATTTCCGTTTAAATCCACTCCACATACATAAAGGATATCAAATATTAATTCAAATTTAAGTTTCTATTTATAGAATTGTTGAGTGTTTTCATATAATAATAATAATAACTAAAAAATATATATATAAAGATGAATGTTTTTGTTTAACTGAATTTTTTTTAAAGATTTAATCTAAAAAACAACTATAATATCTAACATAAGATTTTAGTGACAATCATAAGTTTATCATATAATCAAACAAAAAAATCAAATCTTTTTTCCAATTACTGTATTTGTCATTATTATTTTGAAGTACACTCTATATGTTTATAGGGTATAATAGGATTAGTTTACTAATACATTAAATCCAAATACAGTTTTTTTGTGTAAGTGTTTTGTTGTATTAAATGTTTGCGAATATTTTTTTCATTTCAAAAGAATATTCTTTACAAATTCCATGGCATTAGAGAAATACTTATTGAAAAATGTGTAAAAATTTATTTTTATTTTTTAGGTGATATCCTAAACATACAGTACAGTACTACCGGTACGACTACCTGTGCAAAGTTGAGATCAACATGAAAAATGAGTTTCCCAAATGTCTTCAATGACTATATAAACTTCACAACCGATTCATTTCCTATAGTTTTATATATATTTGTTTTTGTTTAAAAAAATATTATTTTTACTCAACAACAAAAAATATGTGACAACTGTTCAAAGAGTTTACATCTAATATAAGATAACTTTTATTTTTTATTTCCTGTTAATAAAACCACAATAAATATATATATATATATATATTATATATTTTATAGATCTATTTCGTACAGTATGTCTGTCTGTCTGTCTGTATGTGGAGTATATTGTAAATAGATTTTCTAATAAACTCAATCAATACAAATGCATTCCTATAAATCTTTATTGTTGTGATCCAACTGCTACTACTACTACTAGTGCTGCAAACTAACTGATCAGTTTAAGAATATGGCTTACAGTAGATAAAGTTGAAACGTGTATAAGTGTATGTATGTATGTATGTATGTATATATGTATGTATGTATGTATGTATGTATGTATGTATGTATGTATGTGTGTGTGTGTGTGTGTGTGTGTGTGTGTGTTGTGTGTGTGTGTGTGTCTGAGTGTATGTTTGGAGTACACATACTTAGTCTTTCAGAGCACTCTTGAATTGCTATTTATCTTTCTGTCTGTCAGATCCTATCCATACGTTTCGTCGATAAATTTTTTTTGTCAAAAGAAACGAGACTTGAAAGACACAAATAAAATGTAAATGACATATAGTGTGTGGCATATAATAAAAAATACAGTATAAGTGACCAAAACTATAATTTATATAACAATATACTATATATCATATCATTTATATATATCCATAGTTGCATTGAACAGTATATATCTGGCAATTTATGTCCAGATTATGACTAAATATTTTCTATTTTAAATATATATATATATATAATATCTTGTGATTCAAAATAACTTGAGTCTAGACAATAGATTGTACTAATAATAGTTGATTAGATTTTTTTCAATAAAATATTTTTTTCAAAGATTACAACATAGCTATAATATTTTGGGCAAATAATAAATAATGATGGTATTATTATTACAAATATATATATAGATAAACTCCCAACTATAAATATACACTTCTAGAAATATAGACTCTTATGTTATGATATTTATTATATAAGTTATATATTTTTTTTGTAAAATAAAAATATTATTACAATAAGCATACCTTTAAAGTATTTATACAATAGTTTGAGTTTATGTGTATTTGTATATAGTTTGAAGTGTTTTTTTTGTTTGATATTTTTGTGAAATAAATATTTTATATACAGTACACAAATATAATAACACTAGGATTATATATATAAAAAACAAAAAATTCTTTCAATTGGAGATTATTCTCATTAAAAATATATTATTTTTCAATTTATATTTTAAAAAACACTTAATAATTCTGTTTGAAGCTATTGTATAAACAAAACAATTAGTGATAATTTTTTTGTCTTCAAACCAAATAAAATGATTGATATGAAGTGTTTTTCATAGTTGTGTTGCCTCTTGTATGTTGTCCTCTATGGTATCGGTCCGGACCCGACCCTTACTATCGCAGTCCACGATAAGTGTTGCCCCATAAGTGTTGGCCGACTGGAGTCGTAAATGTCGGTTAAGACTGTTTCGTAGGGCAGCGCTCTTGCGATAGCTTGTGATAACCAAAATCAAAAATATGACGATATAGACGATCAAAACTACCTATAATTGTATAACACATGTTAGCACTAATGTTAATCAAATTATTATACAGTATTTTGATTTAAACAAATCGATAAAACCAATGGATAATAATATAGATAACACAAACATATATTGAATATTATATTTCTAAAGGCATTAGAGATAACCACAAAAATTACTAAGAATTATATACAATATATATATATACAGTTTATATACTATATGTTTGTTCACTAATTTACTCATTTCTTTCTATCTATTTTTTCGTTGTTATTCACTCACTCACTCACTCACTCACTCACTCACTCACTCACTCACTCACTCACTCACTAACTCATATATTTCTATTATTTCATTACTACAGTACAGTATATTATGATATTATTATTCTTTGGGCAAATCAATAGATTTTTTTTATTCAATTCAATTCATAGCCATTCCAGCCATTCCTTAGCGCTCACAAAATCTCTGCTTTTTATTTTTGTGTGTATTTTTGATTATGTGTTTGCAAACAAAGTAATGTTTGGAATAGAAGAGAGAGAGAGAGAGAGAGAGAGAGAGAATAAAAAATAAAAAAGTGGCCAAAATTGACTCAAACTCATTGCTATGTCCACTAAATTCATTAATTGTGTGCTTTCATGCAAACTGTCGCAAACATATATAATTTATATAACATTTTCAACCCATTGATTACGAGAGAACAGTTTGCCAATAATGGTGTTGTGATTCAAATCAATAACATATTATAAATAATTGCCATAAAATTTTAAAATGATGTAAACTTTATAATAATAATAATAATAAAAACTGATTTAATTTTTTCCATTTCTTTAGTATAACTAAATTATATTATAGAAAGTATAAAAGTAGTATTAAAAACTTTTTTGCACTATATTATACTATATTATTGATTTTCAAATTAAAATAAATTTTATTTTGGAGCTATTTAAACCTAACAAAAATAAGTTCAAATAAAAAATGTTAACAAAATATATATATATATATATAGATTTTCTTCATATTATTTTACATTTATATTACACTTCAATAGTCAATACTAAACTGACAATTCATTTTTGTTGTTGCTTTTTATGTTTGAGACACACAATCAGTGATTGAATTTTGACTTTTTTTTATAAAGTTATACTGTACTGGATATAGATTTATATAAAATATAGTATATATTATATACATATACTGTATATGTATATAATATATTTTATATAAATCTATATTAATATATATATATATATATATATATATATATATATATATATATAATATATTTGATTGGATGACAAAGAGAATATTAAACAGATCATTGGCATCAATATACGGATATATCCATATATTTATTATTTTTAGTGCCACATAAACATTAGGTTTGTCTAACTTTTTTTTGTTGTTGATAAAAAGCAAATGTCTTTCCTTTAGTCTACATAAATATATATATATAAAACTTTATATATAATATATAAAAATGGTATTTCATATTATTATGACTTTTTTTTGCTTTTTCTATATACAGTATATACGAGAAAAACGCTTAAAGGAATTGTATGGCAATCGTGAGGTATAGCTTTACGACAGTCCATAGTTTAAGAAATAGGTATATACTGTATATATATATATATTAATACAATAGTTTTAAAAGTAATATCCCTGAGCTATATATATATATATATATATATATAAGAAACCGTGATTGTTGAATATAAAATAGTCAATAATAATGTTGGTTCATATTATTCTACCTGATCGATCAAAATTAATACACTTATAGTATTTTATTATTAATATATTATATTTATTTAGTATATACATAAAAAATATTAAATGCTAAATATAGATATAATTTTATTTGATTAGATTTTGGTTATTTTTTTACTAAATTTGCTTTTTATATATGATATATAATAAATGTCAAATTAAAATAGTTTTTCATTCCTAAATAAATACGTTTCAATAGAATCAAACTTTAATATCTATTTATTTATTTTTTAAATTAAACTTTATTATACATACGGTCACATAGACTATAGCATCGGTAGATTGTGATGAAAATACCACTTCAACTGTTTTGCCATCATTTTTATCCACTGGCGATACGTCATACCTGAGTCCCATCGGTAGGATTCGGCATAAGATTGATGAGGCCCTGAGTGATGACAACAATAGGTAAGTCAAACATTAATACAACCGCATTGTATAACACACACACAAAAATAGTTTGTTTCATCTATGATTAGATAATCTAATTTGATTTAAATGTAAATAAAATTGATTATTATTGTAATGTGTGTGCATATGTGACCATAAAATTAAAATATTTAATATACTGTATATATATAAAACAAAACAAAAACTAATGATACCTATAATGATTTACTCAGTGCTACGGAAATGAATAATAAGTATGCGTTGACTACATATCTATTTTTATCTTCAAAAAAAATCCCGTTAACTATATACTGGTATATAATATATAAAAATCTCTAACTTTTTGATTGCGTGACAAATAGCCATAAAAAGGTCAGCTCTCTCTCTCTCTCTCTCTCTCTCTTTCTGTCGTTTGCAATAATGCACAGTTAGCTTAACTGTATAGTATGGGTAAGCCCATTAAACATCTATATATATATAAATTATATTTGGTATATAACTTATATAATATAAGTATATTAGATTGATATGAATCCGATAATAATACTAAAACCTTATCCACAAAAAAATTCAGAAAAACGGAAAAATTTCTGACTATAACATAAATAACTGAAAACCCTATGAAAAGAAATGACTAATTTTTATTTAGTTTATTATGTTATATAGATTTTAATTATATATTAATATATTTAACAATATTATTGATATCAGTTTTAGATATGACATTTCTATTTCCTATTTTATATTATATATATATATAATATAAAATATATATATATATATATATACAGTACGTGGGTTGTTAATACTGATATTATCTCTAACTATATTTTTAAATACATAATAGACTAACAAATATGATATAATAATCAATTACACAAATATTGAGTGTTGTCTCCCATGCTATTGACTTAATATTATTAATAATAGATATTACATACAATAATATACTGTATACTACAGTGTATTTTGTATTGTATATTATATACTATACAATGATAAATAGTGATTGAGTAATACAGAAAAAATTAGTTTCTTATGGCATATAATTGTATAGTTTATATATAACTATATATATATATATATATATATTATTTGCGGTACTAAATTATATACAGTACCAGTATTATAATAGCTCAATAAAAATAAAAACTAATAGCTCAATAAGTTACTGTTACACTAATTGATTTCCCCACTATTTTTATTATTTGTTTTATATTTCGTTCAAACAACACATTGTGTGTATGTGTGTGCCATAAACTACTGGTGCTATTGTTATAATACAGTGGTGTGTGTGTGACATAAGTCTTATGACAACAACAAAAGTATTACTGTATAAACACACAGCCAAACACACACACAGAATATTCTGTGTACTTATATATAAATTTTTATGGTATTTGTTAATAATTGCACACATAATGTTATAATATAAAACTTATATATAGTTTATATATTTTGTATATGTTTTGCGCAATAAATAGAAATATATATAAATATAATTAATTGCAAAAACTGTTAACAACAACAATAACAACATTGTACTGTTATTTAGTATTTAGTATTCATGTAAAATATTACTTTAACAATGTACAGCATAATTATTATGTGTGATATTTTTTATTTTTGTTGTTTAAATACATAATTATAACTTACTTTTCATACAAACATAAATATTTATATGGATTTAAAATTATAACATATTTGTTGACAGATATTTATTGTTGAAACATTTGTGATAATATGACAAATATGCACTACTATTATAATAGTATTTAATATATAATACATTTAAGTAGTTTTTGTTGTTGTTATTACTATTTTGATTCAGAAGTCAACAAATGCTTGGATTACATGGAATTTATCGGTCGATACGCGAAAGAGAGAGAGAGAGAGAGAGAGAGAGAGAGAGAGAGAGATTTATCATATGATAGAGTTTATGGGCATATAATAGGCATATTGTATATACAGTACAGTTAACGGACAATCATATGTGTATTTATTTATATTGTATTATATTATTTTGATGACATGTTAATGTCATGGGAACAGTCAGTTTTAGCTCTTACTCCTAAATTTTCGGTCGGATAACTAAACTGATTAACATTTTAACACTTCTGATACTAGTTGTCTATTCTCTCTCTCTCTCTCTCTCTCTCTCTCTCTCTCTCTGTCTGTCTCACTACTCACTCACTCACTCACTCACTCATACATTGATTGAAAGTACTATTGGAGAGAATTTTATATATTATAAAAATGCTGTTATGGCAACACCTGAATCTTTTATATATATAATTATTATAATATAAATATATATTAAAGTATATCTGATTTCCATATTTAGATTCATTAATGTTCAATATTATAATTATTATATACTTTATATCTATATAAAAAAATTATGAATTGTTAAAACAGAATAATTTATAACTATTATATAATAAAATAATTGTGTTATCATTGAATTAAAAATTGTGTATAACATGTATAATAATCAGTATATATAAGTAATCAGTATACAGTATAAATATCAGTACAATATATACTGTTAAAAATATTATCTCTGATTTATCAATTTTTCAATCAAAATTTGTTATATAGAATATTCTACAATAAAGTATGATAAATATATTTTTGTAACAAAAATTGCGTAAATCATTAAATTTATAGAAATAAAAAATGTAAAAAAATAATAAATCTAATAATAATAATTATATTTTAGTTCAAAACTAAATAATAGATAATATTGATTTGTATTCTGTTTATGCTATAATCTTATAATTAAAAATCTAAATATTTAGTTTCATAAATACTATAACATAATTATAGGTAAAAATTGTATATCGATTTTTATGACTGTATTTTATTTTCAATTACTCGTTAATTGGCTATAAATACTGGAATAAACTATTATTATTATTATTAAATGCTACTTGAATTAATTTTTTGGTTATAATACAACATAATTATACATTTGTCTACAATAATTATAATATTATAATTTTAAATATTTTATCATTAAACAACTAAACAAATTAATTAATCTTATATTATTTATTTATGCATAAAGTATTTAATTTAATGTAAAAATTGAGTATTACTCTGCTATCGAAAATAATTTATTATAAAAACATGAATATCAAATAAAAATAAAATTTTTATAATTTAAAAAATATTTAATATTAGCATATATTATTTATCAATAAATATGCTGATATTTAAAGGAAAATAATCTTAACATTAAATATGTAAACATAATAATCAATATATTATATAAAATATTTGACACTATTTAAAACATTTATATTCAAAATGTTATCTGTTTTAAACAGTTATGATTTGTTTCCATAATTGTTGTCTTTAATTAACAATTACTGTATAATCAATAATATATTTTTACTGCACATCATTGTCTAAAATTTAATTACTGTTAGAAAACAATTAAAATTTAACTAAATTTTCTTATTTAAATATTGTGTGTTAATTATAAAGCAATTATTAACAATAACTAATACTACAGTAAAATAATATACTATATATAAAACATTATTAAAATTTAAATATAATCGTTACAGTATTATTAATACTGTACAATAAATTAAACAATTTTTAAAAAATACATTAAATTGAATGTAAAAACATGTTTAAAAAACTTAGGATTTGATAGGATTATGAATAATGTTTTTTTTAATTTTGTTAAATGTACTAAATTATTGAGTCAACTGTTTTAGACAATTTTTAAAATTGAAAATAATAAAAATCAGTTGAGAATACTAGAAAGCATTACCAGAAACAAACTTTAATGTCATGAATTAGTCCGTATGACTAATAGAGTACACCTGTAATGAATATTATGATTCAAAATAATTCATTAATACTAATGACTAATTTTAATAAAATTTTAATATATTTTATAATATATTGATGATAACTATTAGTTATTATGCATCATATTATACCAAAAATATTCATTTCTAAAATTTGTCGGTTCATGATTTAATTTTATATTCTAATTCCGTTTATTTTCTATATATTATTAGTAATTTTCTATCCGAATCTTAGTTAGAATTTTAAAATTTGCAAAATGAAATGACAGACAGACAGACACAGACATGCATTTCAGAAAACAAAAGTTTGTTTGAAAATTCATATAATATAAAACTTTATACAGTTTATTGTGTTGATTATGTGTCATATACTAGAATAACATAAATAATACAAAAACAAAACGTATGCAAACATTTAGCATATTTTATAAATTTAATTATTTTTTTTAAACATCACTCACAAGATTATAGAAATACAAAAAGCGTAAAAAGTTTAATATTTAATATTATATTTTGATGTCGAAAATTAGGTGCACATAAAATTTGAATATAAATATATATTTTTAAATCTATTATTACTGAATTTTAAAAATATTTAAATATACATCAAAAAAGTATAATCATAGAAAATATTCTTTATAATATTAAAGCAAATTTTAATATGTTTAGAGCTTAAAAACTTTACATCACAAAATATAACAATTTATTTGCAAATTTTTTTTATTGAAATACGACCATGGTATTTATTAGTGAATATTGAATTATGAGTTTTTAAAAATATATATAACTATTTATATATTAATAGATTACAATTTAAATTAAAAAATAATTTAATAACCGACATTTAAATTTTAGTTTATATATACAAATCTTTAATAATAGTATTTTAAAGTTATAGTTTAAATGCAAATAAAAACATTCATTTAGATGACCCGTTGGTCATCACTTAACTATATATATATTGTTTGTGATATGTTTTGAAAATAAATGAAAGCTTTATTATTCATTGCTTTACAATCCATGAAAATAATAAGTTGTCATTTTTATTATTATAAAAACATATTTATAATAAAGTTTTGAATTGTTATTTTTAAGAAAAATAAGAATATTATGTGTTTTTACAATATAATACCTTTTAACACTAAAGTAAAAAAATATAATTTTTCATTAT